GTGAGGGAGGGAGGGGGTTGCAGGAGGGGTAGGTGAATGTGTGGAGTGCAGATCAGAAGGGGTGGGGGGTGTGAGACTGGGCTTTTCAAACCGGCAGTAAAACACATTCAGATCATGTTTAAGATGCTAGTTTAAGATGCTAGTCATCTGGACATCTAATTGGGCAGTTCTTGGCCAATGTGGACAAGACCTGAAATGCTGTTTACACCAGCTTTCCAGAATCATGAAGTTCAAATATTTGTTTTCCTAAAGGTTTAACTAACCAACACCCAGCTAATTTGATTCATTTATCTTTAACATGTCATTGGAACGAGCATGAGCTACATGTTACAATGCTTTCCACTGTCTGCTGTTGCTGTTGTAAAATAGAGCAGTTGCTCCTCTGAGGATTTGCTTTGACAGTGGCGTACAGATGAGCTGTTGAAGTAATGATGAAAAGTTTCATTGGAAGCTTTGCGTAACTATGACAAGGGCTAATTTTAGCTGTAAAAAAGGTTAAGACAAAAAAAAACTTGAAATGTCTGATGGTGTCGGTGAGCACAGCACCTCGCAAGTGAGTTAGTGTGACGTCTTAAAAACTGTGGTGAACGTAATCTGTATCTATATTAAAAATAAAAATTCTGTCATCATTTACACACCCTTAAGTTGTTCCAAACCTGTATGAATTCCTTTCAAATGTTGAACACAAAAGAAGATATTTTGAAGAATGCTGGTAACCAAACAGTTGATGGTAGCCATTAACTTCTGTAGCAAAAAAATATAGTGGAAGTCAATGGCTACCGTCAACTGTTTGGTAACCAACATTCTTCAAAATATCTTCTTTTGTGTTCAGCAGAACAAAGTACAGTGATGACAGAATTTTCATTTTTGGGTGAACTATGCCTTTAAAGCATAGAGGGTGGAAAATGTTGTTTAACATTAAATTGGCCGCTTTTTTAGTGAATTCGTAATTTAATCATTGTGAATTATCGTTGAATTATGAATAGATGAATTCAGCAAATTATCATCATGAAAACATAATTTAAATAAAATATATTTTTGAGGTCTCTAACCATCGTTTGAATGTCACCACATCCAGCCCATGTGTATTGCAGCACATTTATACTGGCTTGCATGTTCTCTTTGACAGCATGAGCGATCCTGCGCTCTTGAGAGTAAGACTACAAAAGCATATGCGTCACGGAAAGGTAAACATACTTCACCTGTCACCACTCAACCGCCCTTCTTCCCATTTTCATTGATAGTGACATTTCCCAGGAAAGTTCCTTGCTGTCACACTTTTAAACAGTGCAGCAGAGATGTGTGGGAGAGTGAGTGAACAGCATGGTAGTTAAATAAGCACCAGACCGCCCAGTGGGACCTTCTCAACTCCTGCTCAACAGCCTCACTTGTCCATTTTTTAAAATTAATTTTAATATTTGTAATTGTCTTTACTGTTATATTTGAATGATTAAATGCATCCTTGCTAAAGTATTTATTTCTTTCATAAAAATAATAATAAAACAAAATCTTACTGACTTCAGGCCTTTAAATGGTAGTGTAATAAACAGCAGTGCAAGAATGTAAAAATTGTTTTATTTTATTATAGATTAAATGAGACAAATATGCTCGACCGCAAGGCAGCTCAAGAGATATTATTGTGTACAGCATCTGAAATGTGACTATTTTTGGCATGCTGCAGTATCACTGAACTTTAAAGTTTTCTCTCTATAGTATTTAGAATGGTGTGCAATGTTCACCAACAATGAAAATTTGTTGGATGCTGTTTGTTGTACAATTACAATATAACACGACTAATGCTTTCAAGCTTAAAAAAGGAAAAACTGAAAATCTCCTCCTACTGCTTTCAACCACTGCAACTTGAGAATCAAATCAGTCCAATTTTTGAACAAATCGTGGTGACCAGTTTTGTGGATTTAATCAATAATTTAACAAGAACTCAAAATGATTTGTTCACTCATCACTACTGAACATCTTTCTTGAACAATCATGAATGCACAAAAGAGAGCAAAGGCGAGTGTCAAAATGTTCTGTGAATAATGACAGTTTCGCTCTGTTTGAAGCTTGACAGCGCCAGTCCTCATGCACTTTGATTATATCCAGAATGTTCAAAAATCCTTTTGTCTTTCACAGAAGAAAGACTGTCATACAGGTTTGAAACAACATGAGTAAATGATGTGTAAATAATGCCATTTTTGGTTAAACTATTTTTTTAAGATCTCTGCACCAATCAGAGTACATCTAACCATGTAAACCAGGGATCCTCAAATCTGGCCCACGAGATCCACTTTCCTGCAGAGTTTAGCTCTAACCCTAATCAAACACACCTAAGCACGCTAATCAATGTCTTCAGGATCATTAGAAAATCACAGGTAGGTGAGTTTGATCAGGGTTGGAGCTAAACTCTGCAGCGCATTGGCCCTCCAGGGCAAGATTTGAGGAACCCTGATGTAAACAGTATTTGACTACAGATGTCATTAAAGTGTGATGTTTATGATCTAATGTGTTGCTTGTGTTCATATGTCATATCTGATGTATGGTTTTCATTTTCTCTCTATCTTTTACTCTGTCTCCGCTGTAGTTATGTAACTTCCACTGCACCGTCTGATCTCGATCATACTTTCTCTCCAGAGTTTCATCGCTTTCTCTTCTGTTTCTTAGTTGCTCCATCTGTCTCTGTTTTTCTCCATTTCTCTATATCTGGGTAATTGGATCCATATTAAACCAGCTCACTGTGATTTATCACAATGGCTTCACTCTGTCAAAAGCAAACGACTTGTGGTGTATTTGAAAACATAAAATTAAGAAATTAAACTTATTGTAATTTTTTTAGAAATAAGCAAAACTGAATTTGTTCTGAATTTATAGGCAGCATCTAACCGATAAAGTCCCACTGCAAAAAAAAAAAAATGCAGTGGCGTATTAGATGCAATAGCTTTGATATACCATATAACATGGTACTGATTAATCATCACAATCATGTACTGTAGTATTTACTTCAAAACATAGTATTGGGATGGGGCAGTATCTATAGACTGGCCTACAGATACAGTGAGACAGCTCGTGGATGATTTTGGCAGTTGTATAGAAGGCTCTTGTGTTTGGTCGTTGGCCAGGACGTGCTGAGGTAAGCTGGGCAGGCCGCATCGCTCGGTGTTTCACACCGTTTTGGAAATCTGCGCTGACAACTTGAGCAGAAACAACTAATTTAGGAGCCTCTACGCTTTTAGAAAGCAGAGCTGACAGAGAGAGATAAAAGGAGGGAAAAATGGGAGGAGAAAGGTAGCGTAATCAGTGAAGTAAGAAAGAGGTTTACAAAAGGATTACCCAGTGATGCTCCTGGGCAGTATTGTTAGATATTTTGTGTGTTTTTTTTTTCAAGCATTATGATTTCCTTTTGCTATTGCTGTGGATTTTGAAATGAACCAAGATCAAATTCATCCATCCATCCATCCATTCTCCAAACTGCTTGTCCCATGTAGGGCTGTGGAAGTTATTTCAGCGCAATACATTTGTTGTTAACCGATATAGGCTTTCCAAGTTAGAATACACTGCTGATATCAAGAAAGCAGGGTGGCCACTGGCCAATGCTGATATAATTTTTTCAAAGATTTCTGAAAACATGAATGGAAAAATAGTAAGTTGTTATAATTTGGTGATAGTACAAAATATTATCATTATATTGACATAAAACCAGTGCATCATTGTCTTCAACTTCATTGTGATAAATTCAAAAACACAACCTGCATTTCTACCTGTTCAACACATTAATTTTTCTCTTTTTCTTTTAGGCATCACTCATCCTCCTACTATGTCCGCTGCTACCTGCCCCATTGACCAAACTCCAGCGTGGAATCCCACCATGTCTCAACCCATTTCTTGGACCTGAAGGCAAAGCGGAGATCAGATTCTTAATATCCCAAATCCAATTCTTATTCCCCATTCAGCTTCTACAAATGGATAGGAACAATCCAGCCTGCATTAAACGAAAGGAAGTAGTAATGTCCATAGCAGGCCATTTAGACAGAAACTGTTATGATACTGAGAAAGTTTCTATAATCAGTTCATTTTTGTCTTTCAATGCTTTAATCCCTCAGAGACTCTGAATATGGACCTTTGAGAGTCCTGACTGGTGTCCAGCAGCTTTTGTTTTCTTTTTCTTTTCTGGTTTGGATTCTTATGTGATACTTCAATGGCTTAAACGCAAGGCTGTTGGGTATTTCAGAAGTGGGTTATATAATTTATTTTTTAGTTGCCAAATGCCAATTCCACAGAACTTGGAAAAGGAAAAAACCTCGCCAACCCAAATCTCAGCCTTGATTTAAGGTCACTTGGCACCTAGAAACAACCTCTGCATTACTTCCACCATTCCTCAAAGACTTTGAAAATGAACTTTTGAGAGATCTGACTGGTATTAGATGCTTTTTGAGACCCAGAAAACATTAAATCTTCTGGATTAGTTGTGTTTATGATACCTTGAGGTCCAAGATTGTTAGGAATTTCAGAAGTCAAATATAAATATACTCATCATTTTAGATGCCACTTTTAGTGAACTTAAGGAAGGAAAAAACTTCTGCCAACTAGGGCTTGTTGTCACTTTGTAAGGCCACTACAGGGCTTGTAATGCCACTTGGCACCCAGAAACAAGCCCTGCTTGACTTCGACCATTCCTCAAAGACTTTGAATGTGAACCTTTGAGAGATCTGACTGGAACTGGATGCTCTTTGAGAGTTTTTTTTTTTTTTTGGAGGCCCAGCAAACCTTCAATCTTCTGAATTAGTTGTGTTTAAGATACCTTGAGTCATAAACAAAAAAAGATTGTTAGGAATTGCGGAAATCAAATATATATATATATACTCATCATTTTAGATGACACTGCCACTTCCAGAGAACTTAAGGAAGGAGAAAACTTCCGTCGACTAGGACTTGTTGGTGCGTCTTGGTCCTGAACCCAAATCCCAACCCCTTTCACCTCTTTTTTGGCCATTTGGCACTTATTTCTTACCTCCATCTCATCCCGACCTCCACCATTCGCCCCTCACGCCCGTGAACATCTCCTGGTGGTGCGGAGGCGCAGCCCGCACATGCGTTACACGCTGAGCCCGGAAAACCTTCGCAGCCTTTCGGCACAGGGTGGCTCTGGGAATGGGCGGAACTCTAGAGGAGGAGCTCCCGAACCGATGGGCCTGCAGCGGGCCAACAGTGACACCGACCTGGTGACATCGGATAGCCGTTCCTCCTTAACTGCCTCTACATACCAGTTTATGCTTGGGCGAGGGCAAAACCTGGTCATCTCTTGGGATATCAAGGAGGAGGTGGATGCCACTGACTGGATTGGGCTGTACCACATTGGTAAGATGTTTTGGGGTGTGGGTAATCTCTCTGTTGAAAGTAATTCCTTATTATGGAAGGTAGACTTATATTTACTTACTGTGACTTACTTTTGCATTCATTTTCATCACTGTATCACCGGCTCTTTTTGCAGGTGTTTTTATAATGCTACAATGTATGATTTCTGTGGCGCTAACAGAATTACAGAAAATAATAAACACTCCCCCATCCCATCGTTTTGAAGAACGGGTAGTTCTGGTCAAAACTTACAGCTTTGGTTGATCTAATGTTGTTAATTAAGGATGCTTAAGCAAGCAAATTGCAATTCTGTTTGGAGGTAAAGGTTTGTTGTCTCAAAATAGTAATTGTTTTTGACAACTTGTACAACTTGTATTTGTGTGAACTAGATGTCATGCGCACTGCACAGGCCAAAATGACTATATGATATACATTAGTTTATATTGTGAAAACAACAGAAATGTTGTTTACAACACTTTACTTCCATAATTGGATGTATTTCTGAATGAAACTAAGCACCAAAGCAGTACATTGGGCCAATTTTGATTTTATAGTTCTTTTAAAAAATATATTTTTTCATTTTAGAAAAATACTTTTGCACATTACTTTGTAATGGGCTAATGCGCTATCCCCATCATTGGTTTGAATATCCAAAAGGGACATAGTCTGTTGTCTAGATGATCTTAGATTTTTACTATGGAGTTTTACTGGTGTTTTGCAGATTCATCCAAAAATTATTCATCATTTAAGATATTCATCATTTTTGCTGCTAGTTTTATCCATCAGGGGTTCATTTTTATCAGGTTAAAGGTAATTTTGCTAGTGTTTAAATCATTTTTTGACAGATATATGAACAGGTTCTGGAAATAGCTGGAAATAGCTATTTAGGTAGCTGGAAATAGCTGAGCTGAAATGAGAAAATCATTTCTGGGCTGAAAAGGTGGATGAATGCTAGAAAAAAGATGATTCTCTTTTGCTGCTCCATTGAGCTAGAAATGTACATGCTGTGACCCAGAGGTTTTTTTATGACTAAAATCTTTGTCATTGCATGAGTAGTTCTTGTAATGGTATATAACAATAT